TTAATATATACTTTCCCCCCGATCTGCCTAACTAGAAGTGTTTAGCTTCAGCTTGTTGCAGTCAAATATACATATAAATATATATATATATATACATATGTATATATATATGTATATATATATATAAATATATATATAATAATTTTTAGAGCTTCACACTTAAGCCATACAGCACTATATTCTTGTTCTTAACTCATTATGAAACTAATTGAACCACACCTCTCGTTAGCCGAGTTTTAAGATTAATTCTGCTGACTTTGGCTCAGAAAACTCAATTAGGCACTAGCACTACTTATACATTCATTCATTCACTCGGCGCACGCAGACTGTAAGGAGTCTAAAATCGATTAGGCTGACCATTTGTATGAACTGGATGCTGAGGCACAGCAAATGAAATTGCTTACATGCCGAAATTTTAACTAAGTCATAAATATGTGAAAAGTTTTCTTTTTGCGTTACCAAATGCAACGTGAGCGCTTTTGCAAGTTTTCCAGGCTAGGCCAGGCCGGGCGAGGCCACGCCTTCCGCCTCGGGCAAAAGGCACGCAGCTAAAATAATTGATAACAGATTATGTTTTACAATCTAAGCAAGATATGAGATATGCTCGTAATTTTAATGGCCACATGTAGCGGGCCACACGTAGACAGTAGCTGGCTACAAAATCCCGGACCCGGCACAGATTCCGCAAAACGTTGGAAAACTTAATTATTTCGTGCTGGCTGCTGTTGGTTTTCTGGCCATTTTTGGCCACACTCACGAACACACACACGTGCATGCGGACGGAAACCAAGCCTGGGCGACGGACAACTGGAAAGTTATTTATTTTATGGTCAAAAGTTAGATTCTGCTGCTTTATGGCAGCAGCGCCAGGAGAAGCAGCTACAGTTTTGGTGGCTTTAAAATTTACTGGCGCATAGCTCATAAATCAAAAACTATGTAAACGTGTTTCTCGTGTGCGATCTTTTTGCGAGAAAATTTTAATTGTTGCATACGAGGGAAGACACCACCTCTGAGCAGCATGAGCAGCTGCCTCAAATGTGGCACATCAATCGAGGGAAGCACGCATTGTCACTGTTGCCCTGCTCCCGGAGCGAGCAAGTGACATCTTGCTGGCCGACATTTTAGACATGGACATCATACTCATCCTAGACATGACTGAACCAGCGATGCTTCCTCCACTGAGGGACTGCTCCAAAACCTTTTCTTCGGCCTCTTCGGGCTTAAGACCCAAAGTTTGTTGCTCCATATCAAATAAAACTGAATCCCGAAAGAATTTCTTTTCGTCTATCTTAACATTGTACATGCCGGTCGGATTTTCACGATCGAATGGCAAATCCGGACGTATGTCACTATCTGTGACCAGTACCCGCGCGCCAGGTATGGGTAGAAATTTGAATAGGCGCTTGCGCAGCTTCGGCATGTAGGTGGTCCTCATGTGATGGGGCACATGGTGGAGCCTGCTCACCATCTTTGAAGCACGTAGCTCGATTGGACGATCAGTAAGACGCCGGTCTTCGGGCAAACGTTCCTTGATGGCCTCCAGCTGGCGTGTGGTCAGCTGCAGCGGACGTACGCCATCCTTCCAGCGCTCCTGGCCACTTAAGAAGGCAATTTTTTTGTTGTTCCGCAGCTGTTTGCGTGGAATACGCTTGGCTATGCAGTTGTAAACTATACGTGGCACATAGGGGGGCACTGGAAAGTCTCGTGTGGAAATTGGAAAACGCTTTGGATTGACCAGCATATTTAGGTATTTGCCATCGGCAAACATTTTCAATTGCTTCTCCGACTTCTTGCCTTTGCCTGCCTTCTTGGCGAGGGGCTTGGGCAAATCGTGCTTGCCCATCTGGAAGATATGCCTATGCCCATGGCCAATAACATGACGCCAGTCGGGCTCACAATACTTTCGAGTATTGATGCGCTTGTAGGGCAAACGCCGGAACTTGTAGCGCTTCTGCATCTCAATGTGTAGTGTCAGGCGGGGCTTGGTCTTCTTGCCCCTCTCACAGGCACACACGTTTGGATAGCGTATATCATAGCGTCCTGGACCCGGCTCAAAACCAATGTTCCGATGAATGAGAACATTTCGCTTCGTTGGCACACAAGATAGTCGCAGAAACAAGTGCGGATTGTCGAGCTGTACCTTCGTAAGGGGCAACATGTTTGACCGAATCTCATAGAAACTGGTATAGGTATCGGTGGGACCGGGATCATTCGGATTGCGCCAGCAGCAGGTCAAGTCAGTTGTCATCAGGCGCGACGAAGGGCGGCGCTCACGTGCATCTGGCAGGGCACAAAAAAAAAACAACAAAATTGTTATAACCATTGAAAAGGGGTAAAAAGGGAAGGACAAAGAGATGAATCATGCCACATATGCTCGTCTTTCCGTCACTCTATCAGTGCGTATAAACGCGTCGATATTTTAAATAAATATACTATTGGCAGAACAAAGTTATCATTCTACGTCGATGTCTCCTCCCACTATCACAATATCAAAAGATTTAGATTTTGATAATCAGATACAACAAACTTGGTATGTAGATTCTCCTATAGTATGTATAAAGAAATAAGAAATCCCACACATTTTGGGAAACCTTTCCTCTCCAAACTAGAAAAATACTAAAAAGTTATTTTTAGAGCATTTAGCTTATGCACATTTGGATGCCATATTAATGCGCTAGAAATTTCAGAGTAAAAGCACCCAAGTTCTTAAAGACCACACTTGGGGCTTATTTGATTTATCCTAAAACGTTTCAAGTCAAGGGCATAAAATCTTTCCCATAAGTGTAGTTTCTATTATAATTGTTTTAAGTTTTCATAATCTTAATAGACGCAAATAATTTTAGATTCACGTTAAGCTTACTTACTTGTTAAAAAGATGCCCTTTTGCTTATTCTCCGGCTTAAAAAATCGTTCGATTTCCGCTGGCAGCTCGTAGAAGTGGGACGGGGGCGGCTTGATCGACACCCGACTTTTGTTGGTATGCATTTTGGCAAATGCGGTGCCCTTGGAGCCCATCCGGCTCAGAAACGGTACAGGCAGTACGCCGTATCGATTCGGAGCCTGTTGGTATCCACGCCAAGTGGTCATAGCCCGATCGTAGCTCAATGGACGTTTTTCCGGATAGGGAGTCGCGGGAGTCTTTTCAAAGCCCGTCACATGTCTATAATGTGCATAGGTCGCGGCACTAAACTCCTCTCTTCGGTTCTCTGTGGAAAATGCCCAACATATTTTATATATATGTTTTAAAGCTATACTTACCTTGTTGGCAGTAGGTATTGTAGTGACCGCCGGCCAGCTTGAATTGCTTCTGGACGCTATCCAAGTGATCCTCACGTATACGATTACCTCGAAGCATGTATAGTTAATACTTGAAGAGAATACAGATGTGATTGGGTACATACGAGATAACATAAAGAGCGGCAAACTCATGCGAGTTGCAACGAAATTTTGGCGCTCATCCGCCGAAAGTTTTGTCTCCTTTTTGTCCATTTTGCCTGGCTATTTGGATTTTGTTTTTATTAAAAAGAGCTTAAAATTTTAAAACTGTGCGAAAATTATTGTAATCTGTTTTTTGATATATTGTTGTATTTGCGTTACTCAGACGCCAAGCCTGCCCCGCTGCGCATATTATAGTATAATAATGGCTAGAAACTTTATGCTGAACCTACTTTGATATATTTTAGCTAGGTAAATTGGCTGTGATGATCTAACAAATGATTAAATAAATATTATATTTATCTATCACCGAAGTTTTTTTAAGTAATTCAAGACGTTTGAAACGTAAATGCGTCAGCAAAACTGACATGTAGTTTCTAAAATAATTATTTTAGATCAGGATTCTATATTTTATAGCTACCGGCGCCTCCTTCTAGCGCGATCTGCATTTGATGTTGATAGAACAAGGTTCCAAATGTCCCCCAGTCGGTCACTCCCGACCTCTCAGAAACCCACTCACATGTTTATTCTCTCACATAGACTACTTAGACATGCTTTTTACTTCAAGAACTTTAACTAAAAGTTAATAATTTAACTGATATTAAATTAAATTACGCTGCTATAAACGAAAGTATAAAAGATTGTATCGGTTTGATAGAGTGTTAAACATATGTTCAATACTAGAATCTTGCAAAGTTAATATCTTCAGTGATTGTCTTGAATATAAAATTCATCACTCCGAGCGATACGCTTTACGTTTCATAATGAATAAAAGCCCTTCAGTCCACTATACGTTGATGATGAAGCATCTTCCCAGTCGTTTGTGGCTGCACCGTTGATTGACTGACTCTTAACTGACTGTGTCCTGTACTCCTGTTGTCTTGTGTTGCTTCACTATGCCTTTTTGACTGATTGCCTGCATTGCTTCATTTAATCGAATTAATTAATGGCACATTTCACATTCATCATTCCCCGTCTGCATATTTTTCATTTCGTTTTATCCACTGCTTTGTATTTTTATTAACCTATCCCCACCGACCCACCGACCCACCCAACCCACACATTCTGGTCGACACCCACATCAGGTATGGTGATTGCATTTGCTTCACAGTTGCGTATTTTTCACCGGGTGTTCGCTTTATTTTATATATATACCATATATATATATTTATATGTATATACCATTTTCTTCTTTTTTTGATACGAATCAACGAACTGCAAAATTCAATTGAAAATCGTTGAATGCAAGTTAATCAGTGCGCTTGGCTACGCTAATTATGCGGCCGATAAAATTACATTGATAAATGTGGCGTATATATATACACGTGTACGTATATATTCATTCGTGTAAGTATATTATGTAACCAAATTATTGTTGTCTAATGAGTTGTACCGAAGATCGCCTTTTGTGAGGTGGTATGCTTAATTGCTTTATTTTTCGGAAAATGTAACATTTCTGCTTTGTTTTTTGTAAAATGTAACATTTCTCGCCGCAACATCCTTTAAATATATTCCAATTAAATTGCATTGGAATTAATAAGAAAACATATCTTAAGTTCAACGTATTAGAGTGTTTTCAAATTATATTATTTAAAAATGTAGTTTAGTAACATTTTAAATCCATATCTCAACGTCCATATCTCAGCGTCTTTGCGTTGCAATCAAAATCTTAAAAAACACATCTGGCGATATAGAAATATATAAGGAATATTCAAGTCCCTTAGCCATGCTTGATAAAACCAACAACGTACTTAACATGCATGTTAACCGAAAATTGCTTTGCGAATACTTTAAGTGAACAGAGTAACATATAGTACATAGCTTTTGCAATATTATTGTATATAATTTAAGCGAATTTTAGCAGATTACTTTGATATTCTTGATTACTGTCTTCCTCGCCTTGCTCCTCTGTTCTTCAGCTTTTCCGCGGCTTTCTTAGCTTCTTTCTTGGCCTTCTTTTCTCTTTTCTTCGCCAGTTTGGCCTGCCTTTTCAGTTTGCGCAAATGAGCTACAATTTTTGAGGTTAATTTAATTTAATTATACTTTTGGCATATAAAAACCGTATCACTTACACTTAACGTATTTTGCAGTTACCAAGTTGACGGGAAGTGGTGCACACTTGAAGCCAGCCGGTGGCGCCATGCTAAGCTGAATGAAACGATGACCTGTTGCATAGAGCATGCCCAGACACGCCTGTGGTCGAATTCGGGACTTGGGCCACTTATCAAAGTGAAGATCCTTGTGCGTTATATCCGCCTTTTTGACGCCTTCAAGGTCACGCCAATGATACATAACTCTTGGCGTGAAGGGTCGGATTGGCAGTTTCCAGCTATGATGTGGGGCATACTTCTGATACTTTCCCCAACAGCCGGGCTTGTCCACAAAAAACCACACATCGGCATTCGGATAGAATTTCATGTTTATGGAGCAAAAGAACTAATCAAAACAAAATAAAAAGTATGTTATTTTATGCTAGAAATTTTAAAGGGAAATTTTTTAAGATTCAATTATGAAAAATCTGTTTGAAAATTATTAAAATATATGAATACAATGGCAAAAATCAACGCATACTCAGAATATTTTAGAAGCGTCAAATGTCTGTCTAATAGGTTAGTTAGTCAGATAGGTTAGGTGACCGGTTTTTTTTTTTTTGTGGTGGCTGTAAATACTTGAAAGTCATTTACATTCTATCAGCACTGCGTGCTTGCGATTTATGCGACAAATTTTATAAGTTTTCTTAAAGCTCTCTAAAAATTGGAGCATTAGTGTGAATGGCCCCGTTGCCAGTTGTTGAATGTGTCCAACTCGGCGACTAACTATACTAAAAGCGAAGCAGGCACTTGCAGGCTAAGTTAAGATCATTAGATTAAAGGATACACGCCGGGATAAAGGTGGTGCCGAAAAACTGTCAATTAGGTTTAATTATTTTATGCTCCCAAATGGGGTCAGAAACACAACCACACACACACACACTCACATGGCAGCTAATGTGCAAAGGCGTCTTATGCAAGTGCTTTAAACTGAATAGCTTGGTGAGCTGGGGTGGGGTGGTCTCTTGACTCTAACAGTGCCTGCCGCTAAGCAAAGTCAATTATCCCAGCAGCTTTGATGCAAGTAATTGGCATAATGAAATTTTCTCAGCCAACGACAGCGACAACCGCAAAGAATAGAAGCAGCAGAGCAACAGCATCGGCAGCGACAGCAGCCGTAACCATAACCGTATTAGCATATCAAGCGACAACTGCGGAGCCGATGACAATGACAACGTTTGCCCGTCATCCTTGCCCCCAGGCTGATAAGCCGCGTTGACGCCATACTTTTTGCGTATTGAATAAATATTTAAACAGTCCAACAGCTGTCGCACAATATTAATAGCATACGCTGGGGCGCCACTTGAACTTCGCCAAGAGCCTCAGCAGCCGCGCGCTTTCATGCGGTATCTTGGGCAGAGCATCAGGCCCCAGTGCAAATATGTTGCGGCTATTGCCACAAAATATTTAAATATTTTATAAGCCAAAGGCAGTCGGCAGTGTGCAGCAAAGCAACAAACCGTAACCAAAGTTGCAATGGCCCCCAACCAGCAGCCATTGCAACTGCAACAACAACGTCTTGTGCAACACTGAAACGGCAACTGCAGCGGTTGCAATGACCAAGTTAGCTGCTGCACTCACAAAATCGTCGACATCCAACTCTCAGACTTATAAATGCGTTCTATTGGCCAACTCAATAAATATATTTGCTTTGCTTTTTATTATATAAGCCAAAGGGAATTAAATGGGATGACAGCAAATTGTCGATATTCTCAAATTTAGTTCTTAATGCCTTACAACACAAGGGAATATTTAACCCTTCTAACAACATTTTTAAACACTAGTCCAAAAATACCGATGTTTCGCTTGTCCTCGATTGCTTTTGCAACAATAGCTTTTCACTATAGAAATTATGTTTGAATGGAACAAACAATAAAATAAGAAAAGCATGTGTAAAAACAACTATTCTTTAATTTTTTGACACCAAAAGGAACAAAAATGTCATGAGTACCGATACCTTTCATATCGACTATCCGATAGATATGAACTAGCTCGACTTGATCATTTTTATCTTCAATTTTCAGAACTTTTTTAAACAGCTAAAGTGCATTGCTTCGTCGACTACTGCATCATTTAATATTCATTCATTCAAAGACAAAATGCTCATTAATATATTTATTGAAGAAATAAAATTTATAGTATTGGTTTAATTAGAAGCACCTATTAAATAAAAGAAATACATTTATTCTACTTTAATACATTAACAAGTATTAATATTATGTGTCAGGCTCAACAGCCATCGTGTTTAGCACAGGGTATTCTATAGGCAATCATTTTAAAGCCTGATTTTATTTCGTTCCGTTTTGTTGGCCAACTCGCTTGGCATTCCCTTAATACCATGCATTTTCGTTGGTTGCATTTCAACAAGGGATGCATGCGCTGGCATTGTCTTTGGTGGCTACAGCTGGTGGTGGTTGGATTGTGCCCGGCTGGCCAGCTATCTGCATTGGTGGCGCAGTGGGTGGTGCTCGCTTGCGGATTGTTGCTTTGTTTCCATTGCATATGAACGACAGCGCTCAACACTTTTTATCGTTGCCATCGCCGCACTGCTTATTATAATTTCTTTTTTTTGTGTTTCTCTACTTTTTGCGTTGCTCCGGAGTAAATTTCCATGGGGGCTTAGCCGGAGCTGAACATGTTGTTGAGTTGATTTCGTAGTGGCGCTTACAAGTTGGGGCATTGGTTTAGTGTGCATGAGCGCGCAAAAGTATGCTACAACTATTCCAAAGTCCCCGCTGCAAAGGCAATCACATTTAAATGTTGTGGCTTATATAAAATGTGGAAGTATATAAAATGCGGCAAATAGTTTTAAATACTCCCCAAATATATGCAGTATTACCAAAATTATACATTAAGTTAGTTATATCTTGTGCTTTTTAAACATGCAGTTCAATATAAAACAACAAAATTGGTTACATTTATTGAATTAAATATTTTAATGTAATGTTCTAAGTTATAATTAATAATTTTGAAAAGTTTGAATTTTAAGGAATGATTAAAAAATAGGTAGTTATTTTACCGCTGCAATGAACAGTTTATAAACTTAGCTTAACCTTCTTTCTTTACGTCTTAGCTCCAATTTTCGCCTTTCACATTCCAATACAGTTCCAGAAGTAGGCACACATAGATCGAATACTGGACTAAAGATATGTAAACTATCCTTTTATAATGCTTCAATAGACAATCACATATTTAAATATCAGTTTATATAGAATAAATGTACAATCTAAGGTATAAAATGTTGAATATCGATCAAATGTCTTATTAAACTTTTCGAATGCTTCCAAAATACAAATATAATATCTAAACACTAAATTCTCAAAGTGGCGACCCACAAATTGAAGCAAATAAATGTATACTTAGATACATTAAGGGTAATATATATAAATGGTAATCATAGTCGTATATCCAAGATACCTCGAACTGCGCTTTAACTATTTTGTGCTAAGTATTACTGGTTATTAAACTCTTAAAATGTGTTCTTCAGCCAAAACCACGCCCGAAAATTGCGGCTGGCAATTATTTGTTGGTGATTTTGAGGCTGACAGAGTCAACTCCATTGAAACAATGCTGTCAACGCTTCAGCATAATTATGTCGCAAAAAGATGTTCCATGGTTTTTTTTTATCGTTGCGCATTAAAAGGCTTTTAAAATTTATTGATATTACCGACTCTATTAAATTATGCCAGGCAGCCAACACCCTAGAGCTTGTACTTTTTTATTTTTATTTTATTCTGTTTTCCTTTATTTTTTTTTTTGGCTTCCCTTTCTTTATTTTTAATGCCGTATTTTATGAGTGACGTGGCAATGGCAGCAAATTTTCCATGTCGTCAATGGCAGCGACCGATGACTGGCAGCAAAATTGGCAATGCCAAAAGCAGCGACGGCGACGCCGACAGCGACTTTTGCTCTGAGCGAAGCAAACTCAATTTGTGTAAAAAATTCTTTTAGTTGCTGTGCATATTTTAAATATAATACACAGCCAACAACAACAACAACACCAGCGTTAGCGAACTGTACATTATAATATTTTTTATTTAATACAAAAAAAAGGCAAAAAATTATAAAATATATTTTGCGCAGCATTAAGCTTGGCATGGAGTAAATTAATGCATAAAGACAAGCGTGCGTGCATTGAAAGCAGTTTATTCGTGCGTCTGGACACACACACATACACTCACTCACATACAAACACATGCATGCGCAGTACGTGTTGTAAGCACGTCGCTGGCTGGCATACGTAGCGTATGATTGATAAATTTACACTTTGAAAGGCCACCAAACTGCAAAGTATATTTTATGCGCTGCAAAAATGTACAATATATTTCTGTTAAAATGGTGCGTAGACTAAGTCTAAAAAATATGTTATCATGAACTTGTCATGATCAATAAAATAAACTCATTTTTCGACATAAATAGCTTAAATTCCTAAATCAATGAATACAATCGAAATAATAGAGTTGGTAGATAAGAATGAAAGATTATAAGCATTGAAAATACATATATGTAGTTAATTGAAAATGCATTTTAAATATATACAAAAAATTATTATCAGAGTATGTACATACTTTTGTGGCTAGCACTGTTTGCTATTTAGCGGCAGCAATCGATCAAAACATGCTTGCCACAAAAAAAATAACACAAAAATGTAGTAATTTTTTAGCTGCTTTTAATGCTGCATGCTTGGATGCATTTTAAGTACAGCAACAACACATTTCTATTTAAATGTATTTTAGTTAAAATTTCCAACAGTATTTATTTTAATAAACAATGCGCCAGTTGCTAAAGCAAAATTTAGCAATTTATTTGCTTGCCGGGCCAACGTGGCGTATGAGCAATTCCGACAACAAATCAACTGTGAAATCTATCAATTCCTTTTATGAGTGCAATTAGCAATTTATTACCAGAATTAAATCGTAGCCAGATGCAAATAAATAAACACACATAAATCAATCAGAACAGCTCAGCTTTCCTTTGATATATCAACTATATTCATTTAGCTTAAGAACTTCGCTCATTTATCAACATTATTTCAATATTGAACTGCAACAGGATTGCGGAAATACCGCCTAAAGCTGAAACTCACGTTTGATTGCCGTTTGCTAAGTAATCTCAATAGCTGGCCAAAAACTTCCTCAACACCCAGTTGCCTTGACAACGCCGACGATTAAATGGACTCCAAAAAAAATTGGAAAATACATAATCCATTTCCATTTGTATGGTGCCACGCAAGTTGTAGTTGCAATACCCTGTAACATGCCCTAAATGGAGTATGACAGATTTTGAAACTCAAGGTAATAGATTTCAATCTTCAAAGTCCATATCTAGTTAACCCTTAAAGTAGAAACTAATGCAAAAACAAAAATCTTATTCCTCTTTATTTAACTAATTCCAAAGCACATTCTATTAAACGGATACCAATTGTGGGTATCCCG